TGGTACGAGGCAAATCTGATAATAGAATGCCCCTACAAAGAATACAGATTTTGGGGTGTCATGTTATGAGTAATGTTCTTCTACTACGGGCCTACGGCACATGTTAACATATCCACCGTTTATGGGACATGCACACATTGGTGATGTATTTTTTGAACATATTAATATCACCAAGTGTGCATGTCACATAAGCGGTGGACAAATTAACATGTGTCCATCGTGGGTAGGAGAGCATTGGGGAGAGTGGAAAAAGAAAGCTGATGAAGGGATCTTTGATTTATTTCTCCTGTTGTCTTTAACCACAGCTTTTTCAGTGTTCACCAAAGGATTGCTTTTCCTCATGTGACTATTACTTGGATTATATCTTCTTCAGAGTTTCAAATTGAATCCAAATGTTCCATTTTTACCTTGGACAATACTTTGAAAAATTAGGAATCAAAGTAAAATGTTTTTGTTAAAAAAATATTTAATTATGTAAAAGAAATTTTAGGTAGAAAACAATTTAACTTCTTGAATTGGACTTATAAATGTACTAAATTGCTGTCTTAGTACCAACTTTCTTGATTTGGGCTCATGAATGTGCACTCCAGTGCAACAGTTATCCAGAATTCTTCTTCCTCTTTATTATTCTTTATAAGGTAATATAACAAAAAAATGAGTGTACATAACAAGATTACAAATTCTGAGAGGACTTGTTCGTAAATAGGAAAAAAATGGCATCGGCTTTTGGGACAAGTGGTGTCGGGAAATCATGCAGCCACGGCGGCCCAATAGCACATGCATAAATAATTAAATATTGTGCTTTGTCAGTGAATCAGAGTGCACTAATACTAATAGGGGTATTTTAGTAAATGAATAGACGCACTGAAGATTCAAAATCCCAGCATAAAGGACATGGCAATGGACAAAAAAGAACTCGCTGAAAGCAAGAAACAAGTAAAACACAAAGGATAAAATAAAATGGAAACAAAAAGTAAAAGGGTAAAAGGACTTCAGTACTAATTTTTTTTTTATTTTTTTTACAAATGCTGAATAAGTTAAAAAAAATCCACAAGGTTCTTATTACAGAGAACAACTAAAAACAACTAATTGCCAGGTTAAGAGAACAACTAATTTTCCAGGAGATATATATACACGTAAAGGAAATTCAATATCCCATACAAAAAGAAAAACACCACAAAAAAAATCGAACTCAAACGAATGCATTCTCATCGTCCATTGGCAACACTGTGTATATATATCTTCAGTAGCTATAACCTGTTAGGCTTATAGTAAGGCACGATACTAAAACACGATATGGATAATCAAGAATCATGAACCTGAGGAGTTCAGGTTTCGAAAAAGCTCCGGAAGATGAGAATTCGTGAGTTTGGTCCTCTTGCTGATTTCCTTCTTCTTCTTGGTCTTGGGCTTGGGAGCAACTCCGTGAACTTGGGCAGCTGCCCGCCTCTTGGCAGTGTTTGTGGCGGGTTTCATCCCATTCTTCTGTAAATCTCTTTCAACGTCCAGCATGTCCCGTGGAAGTTCAATTCCACGGAACAACTGCTTTAGATCATCATCGACTCTTATAACAGCTCTGGGATCGTTCGGGTACGCTATGTCATCTAGTGAGTCGAAGTTTGATAGCAGCCAGATTTGTCCGGAGGCTTTCAAGGACTACATAATTATAGTTGATCAGCATATCATTTTCCATGAATTTAGTAATATCAAGCATTTTCCCAAATATTATGTATTAGACAAAGTGGAAGGCAGAAAATATTCATTTTAGTCTACTCAGATGTCGGTGGCCAAGTTACCTGTAAGTCCTCCACAACTGTCGGGTAGGCATCCTTAAGATCAACAACAGCAATACCCTCCGGAAACTTCCGAATTAAGACAAGAAGTTGGCTCTTATCTTTCAAAGCATGTTTTGACTGCCAAAATATCATAAAACAGAGCAAGTTATCATACAAGTTGAGTTGAAAACAACATGTGTTTTTTCAGCCAAACAAGAGAACTACTATGTATTCTTTGGTGTAATTGGTGGTTTGGGCAGAGAGATATTTACCTTATAAGAGAACCGCTTCCCGTCATAACTCACTTTTGGATTGTTCCTTAAACTGTCGAAGACAGCTTTGTTTGCATTTACATCCACATAGGTCTTCTCATTTATTTGTTCAGGGGTAAAGACTTGCCTTGTCTGGCATTAAGCATATGTTTTGTTGGTTATAAGGAAAAACTCATGTTCCTTTCTAAGCAAGTGAAAGTAATGAGATGTTTGTGTTAAGAAGGCATAGAAACCCACTAAAAACAATTATCAAATATGATTCTCACGAGTATGTTTGTACACACAGAGTATATTAAAGCAAAGCTACCGATTTCCTCAAGGATAACCACATCATAAAATCAGACTACTAGACAGTTTTGAATGGTAAGGCCACGGATAAGCAATTTACAGAACTAAAACACGTGATTTCAAAATTTCAATTAACAATATGAAAGTGCTAAACCATAGGGCATAAATTGGCATGGAGAAAGCCAACCTTTAAACAAACTCTATTGCCCCTCGTTTGAAACAATATTTTTCATAGAACGTTTTGTAAGTTAGTTAGCATCAATGCACTCAATGAAAATTTGAAAAAATAGCTTCCATGCGAAACCTAGCTTTTGCCACATATATCAACATCATTCCCCGAAATCGGGTCATTAAGAACATGCTGCTCCAGGTTGAGTGCAATGAATATATCTTAATAAACCAACAACTAGTGGAAGAGTTTCCAAGTACTCGTCTACATACACCAAGAAAATGCATTACCTCAAAAAGCAAATCAATAACACGTTTGATCTGCGACCCAACAGGACCCTTCCTTATGCTATTTATGTGTTGAAGGCGCTCCGTATCATTCGAAAATTTGACAGGTGCCTTTGCATTAGCCGAAGCTGGGCCGCTTGGGGATGGAGCTCCTTTAGAATATCCTGCTTTCGACACAATACCAGCAAGTGTCGACTGGCATTTTGCTTGCTGCTTCTGAAACTTGGACAATTTTTCCCCGAGCACCGAATCCATCTGCACACAATCGACACGCATTAGATAGATAATCAGACCCAGATGAAAAATGCTCAAGCCAAATCACAAACACCATCATCAAAAAATAAATAAATAAATCCAGGTTAAACACCAGTTTCAGGTGCATCTCAACTAATTACATTGAATTTGAGAAACTACGAATCATTTAAGCAAGCTAGTTTTCAATCAAGAAGATGAAAACCGAACGATAAAGAACCACTCACGGAAATTCTCCAACAGCTGCAGATACTCGTTGCCACCGCCGATTACGTGTGCAGAGGTTGATCGGACATGAACAGCGAGAACAATTAGGGTTTATCGATTTCTGGATTTTGATTTAATATTTGAAACCGGTGATAAAATTGGGATTTAGGGCAAACGGAGCGGAATTACAAAGCTTCGATCAATCCCAATTCCCAACCCTGATTAAAAGTGTCGAAGGCGGGGACTTCGTAAAGCTTTTCATTTATTTTTGGACTCTCTTCTGCTCAGAGGTGCGCCAGTTAAGGCCTACTTCAACTCTATGGGCTGTGGGCCTTATCTTAAGATTGCAGAATGAAGTGATCATTGAGCGTGATCCAAGCGTGCTAATGTAACTATTATTAATTGGCAATATAATGTAATAATTAATATATACATTAAAAAAATCTACTCATTGACTGTAGACATGTCCACGGGCTGAACTGGTCCCAGCCCGAACCGACCCTGAACCGGACCCTTAGGGTCGCGGTTCGGTCCCAGTTCACATTTTTTTTTGGGACCCACCGGTTCAGGCTGGGTCGCGGATCGAACGACGTGCCACGGTCGGTGGACCAACGGTTCAGGGCCGATTCTATCAATCGGCAAATAGTTTAGTTCGGGGCGATCATGGGCCATGATATTGTGGCCCGTCGACCTGACGAACCGGGCCGGGCTGGGTTGCGGGCCAGCAATTGACCACCTCTACATTGATGTATTGGAAATAATTCTATAATTTGAATGCGAAAATGAAAAGACAATGGGCTAGCTGAAGCACTATATTTTTTATTCATTTAGTTTATCGTATGTGTGTTTCTTCTAGTTTATTTTTTTTCTTTCCAAATGCATGCGTAACTGTGAAACAAAATAAATTGTTTGTGAGTTTCGCTCGATTGTTGAGGCTTGAGCTCGAAATCAGTTACTCAACAAAGAGTCAAGGTCGACTTGGCTTTTTGAGGTTTGAGAGTATAGATTTGTATATAATTTTCTACAAATTTTCTCGTTATCATTAATAAACGAATAGTGTTAGAACTTATTTATCTTGATTCTTACTCAAGTTTTGACTCAACTCGATTGCATCTTTGTGTTGAAGCAAAAGAGCATACAATAAAAATGTGAACTATGCGCATTTTATGAAAAGTGAGAGTGATTGAGTGCAAAACCTACCATCAACAAGTGAATGAATTTATTGAGGATATAAATATAAATGTTACAAATATAGTGTAGATTGTAGAACATGTAGCACCCAGAAAAAAATAATTTATGAGATTTATGATCATAAGAGATGAAAGGGGAAAAATAAATTGAATGATGTGCACATTAAAAATTAAAAATGAAACTTATGAAAAGTGTTGTTAAAGTTGGCTTTAGATAAAGAAAATAGAAAAAATACACCTTAAAAA